GTTGCGGTTTGAGCTTTTCAATTAGGTGTAAGAAAGAGAGGTTTTCGAAATGGTTCATTTCGTCGACCTGACACTCCAATTTGAGCACTCAAAAACCGGTGACAACATAATCTTCAAAATAACTAAGAGGATCACCTTATAGGGCAGGCAATTCTCTGCAAAACGGTATAAGACACTATAGCAAAACTTGTCATCTTCAGCGCGAAATTACGAGTAAGGAAAAAAAACGCCACCACTTATGGGCCAACCCAATAAATAACAACCTCTTTACCCGCACTAGTGAAAACTTTCATGGATTATTGCTGATTTGGGTGGCTTAATGACCTTCCATGGAGTGATGTCACTTCGCAGTCAAGCACGACAGTTCAGTGCTTAATGAGGTTACTTCGCACCTCCTTAATGATGCCCTGCACCCTAGGTGCGAGAAATCATTAACGAGGTGCCATCGTACCATAGTAAGCCCGTTTTCTACCAGTTATTGTCGCATACCCGCTTCAACAGCTGGCAGAGGACGAGTTTGACGCCGTGGCGCGCTCATAATGTCTAACACACTCCTTCCGTAGTGAACTAGAGCTTACTTACCATCTTGGTAATATGATCAGAGCCTTTTTTAGTAAGCGTGATCATAGGCTTAATTAGATTGATACTCTCTGTATTAGGCCAGTGAACGCAAATTGAGAAATGTTCAGCGCTGAGGGATCGCCGGGCGCGATTATCGCGAACTTATCCCACCTCACCATGGAAACGGTCGTCAGTGCTCATCCGAATTCTCTTCACTGGACCCACTAAGAGCTTCTTCACTCCCGCCATTGTTGCATGACTAGCGCTGCAAGACTTTTAGAAACTGTGAAGGTACGCTATTATGATATATTGCTGTTTAATTGATTTTATTGTTTATTGATAGTGTGTTTGACAGCGTCTCAACGTCTGATGATTCATAGCCAGGGCACGTCCTACGTTGGTGAATCCCCAGCGGGGAGGTGGGGCGTACTTGGTCTGAGAATTTTCTTGATAGTTGATTTTTCCTGTTTCGTTGCACCGAACCAAAGAGACGATCGTAATCGCCCGTCGCTGGGAGAGAGAGGGTCGGAGGGAGTTCCGTGACATGAGGCTGTTATTTTACACTTCTGATACATCCCATCGACGTGCCCACCCATTTAGGTAGCTATTTCACGAGCTTACATTGACAGGTTTGACCATGATAGCTCAACGAGCTTGCTCCAGCTTCACAAGAGTTCACAGGTTTCACCAGAGTGAGACTTGTAAACCGGAACTAGTGAAGCAACGAAAGTGCAAAATGCCCCCCCCTCCTCCTCGTCGGAGAGCTGCGCCAGAGGGTCGTATCTGCCTTCAAGACTGATTTGTTGCGCTGCTTCTTACGACTGCCAACTTTTCGTGGTTTTTCCCTGTTCCCCTGAACTTTTGAACGTTTAAAATGGCAGTCTACTACAGTACAGTCCTAGGACGTGAGTGCGAAGCCGGTTTTCAAAGGCACTTTCGATCAAAAATCGTTGATGGTGGAATTTAAGTACGGATGGAAAGGTTGATCAACTTAATAAAGTGAATAGATGCGCGAAGAAACATTCGAAAGAACTTATTTGTCATAGCAAGGGCGTCCAAAGGTGGAATACGTGGCAGGATGCCTAGTACTGGAATGCTCACACATCTGGCGCACCTCTTTGTGGCAGTGAGGTCGCGCTCGACGTCTGTTATGCAACAACAATCAAAGTATAGCGGTGATTCCAATGGCTATCCATGTTACTTCAAAGAGTGAATGGATTACCAGAACCTCATCCCCTAAATCACCTGTTGGAACCAACGTCATGATGTCGCTGCGACGCTATGAACTAACTGACGCTTTCGTCTGACGAGTTATAGGGGTAGTTCGGCGATGGGGGGGGAGGGATTTTGCACTTCCTATTGGCGTGTGGATCTTCCATCTGGAAGGCTATTTCATGAGCTTACAAGAGTTGACAGGTTCTATTACGGTAGCTCGACGAGCTTGCTCTAGCTTCACAAGAGTTCACAGGTTTCACCGGAGTGAGACTTGTAGACCGGAACTAGCGAAGCAACGAAAATTCCCCCCCCCCCCTCCCCCTCGTCGGAGAGCTGCGCCAGAGGGTCGTATCTGCCTTCAAGAGAAATTACTTGCGCTGCTTTCACGATGTCTTACGTATCCAATTAGCATTCTTAAACTTCTCAGTCTTTATCGTTTTCAACTTTATTCTTATAAACTTTCTGCAAGTGATTTTTTTTCTTCCTTTCCTTACTGAAGAGCATGGAAGGAGGAGTATGCGTAGTATAGTAGTATAGTTTTGCTCGGCTTCCGTCTAAGGGCACAGCGGAAGTTAGCCAGTGTCGTCGGTGTTAAACAAGGCAATCTCTCCAAATACTGGAACGGGACATACAGTAAAGAAATAGGCTGAGATGACTCCGACTAGTGGCACTTTGGCTTCCGTGGAAGGTCATAGAATATGCGCAAAAAAATAATAATGGGAATGACGAGATTTATAATTTTTACTGGGTTCTTCTCCCCAATTACTGATGTATCGAGTGAGCTGACTGACGACTCCCAACTTATATCCCGAACACTAAATAAGTAGAACGGGATTTGGTCTGCTGGTTACGACGTGTACTTCGCCAAGAAACATACTGCTGTGTTCAAATCCGCGCGCGCGGGAAAGTAATTAAAGTTCCAGCAGGGAGCGGAGTCTCCCCACATTCATAAAGTGCCCGCAAAACCGGTCAGGTGTATGTCGTTTGGCGCGATCTAGGTGCCGAAAAAGTGTAAGAACAGGCGATGGCCCGCGTCGTGGAGATTCAATTTTGGCTATGCGAGAAAATGGGCTCCTGATTCAACTTCACGCGGGCGGCATTCAGACCACAAATTAGTTTGCCCGAAAAGATTATTCTTGCGAACGGTCTCGGAAATACCAAGCGAATTCACAAATGAGTGCTTTATCCAAATGGTGCCCAGGGTTGACGGGCAGATGAAAATAGTCCCCCGTAATGTCAGGAAGCATACCATTGCAGGACAAAACCTACTACGCGGTATCGAATTTGGATAGCCGTCTACAGAATGCCGATCAATGTCTGACTGAGGACATTACAATGTTTAGTCAAAGTGTCGCTCATCTCTATTCGCATCTCACTAAACCTATTCTCGACATTGCACTCATCACTTTGAGTTTTCAAACTTTCTGTTTTCGTGTCTTCATTGAAGACGATCCTCGTGATTGCATATTGTGGATAGCGGCGAAATCACAAACCTATATCGAAAAGTTGCTCTCCATGGAAGAAAAACTAAAAGAAATCATAGAGAACATCATAAGTAAGAACCTGGCAACCTCTGTTAACGAGTTTTTCGGACCTGCTCGTGTTATGCCAGAAAGGCCGATATCTTTTCACCTCTAGCTCACCTATCGTTTCCTCGTGTGATCCATTGTTAAGGCTGCGTTTATACTTTGCGGCAGCGTAGCGTAGCGCTTCCAGCGTACGCCAGCGGCAGTGCCGAAGAGAGGATGCATATCGATCTAGCTTCACCAGCGTTTCTCCAGCGTTTCACCAGCGTTTTGCTAGCGTTTGCAGCGGCAGGGGAGTAGAGACTATGGGAGAGCTGGAGGGTACAAAACACATCGATTGCGCGTCTCTCACTCGCCCTTAGTCTCTACAATGCACATCGCTTCTGCGTCTCCGACGGCCACATAGTCTCTACAATGCACATCGCTTCTGCGTCTCCGACGGCCACATAGTCTCTACTCCCTGCCGCTGCAAGCGCTAGCAAAAAACGCTGGAGGCCGCTGCGTGGGAAACGCTGGAGAAACGCTGGTGAAGCTAGATCGATAGCTATGCTTCCCGTGCCCTCGCTACGCCAGCGTGCGCTAGCGTACGCCAGCGTGCCGCTGGTGACGCTGGTGAAGCTAGATCGATATGCATCCTCTCTTCGGCACTGCCGCTGGCGTACGCTGGAAGCGCTACGCTACGCTGCCGCAAAGTATAAACGCAGCCTAATGCCATTCTAGCAGTGAAAAAAAGTACAAAAAAAAACACGCTTTAGAGACCATTTGTGACAGAAAATAGCTTTTGAAACTTGGAAGGCTGGACAGGGAGGCGTCAGAACTGCCTTTATAGGGGCCGCAGCGCCTTTGCCGCTCACTGAAAAGCAGCGAGAGTGAGGCAGTTTTAGAGACAGCGGACCGCACTACTTCAACAAAGAAATACGTCTACGAGTTGCTTGAGGAGTACTATCTTTGAATGGCAAAAGTATCCGAGACACAATCGTCGCATCGGTCTTAGTGGGTCCGCACCTACAGTGGAATACCATTTATTCTTTTCCAGTCAACTTTCTCAGCGCGAGATTGGAAGGGAACGGCGCCGGAAAGAGGGGGATATCAGGGTATCGCACCCGTATATCCTCCCGTTCCTCCCTCCCCCCATGCGCAGCACTATTGTTTTTGATATCAACGGTCACACAGCGGAAACACGCTAGCTCAGCGGTACGAGAGCAAGCAGAAGGGAGTAGCGCATGCCAGCAAATGCGCGTTTGGCTAATTGGTTAGGAATGTGCTGCTGTGCGGCAGCAAGGGGTGGAGTAATGAGAATGCCCCGGGTATCACTATCTTCCATCATCGTTCCGGTGCACTTTTGTGCAGAGAAAAGGGCACACTACTGTGTAGCTAAGCTGCTGACCTCGCAAGGACTGGAATCCACGGATGCAAGTGTGATGTGACTTCAAGGCCCATTTCACATGTGATCTCATTTCAATTTCCATTTTGTTAGGAGACAAACAGCACAGCAAAGCATCGTTCACATTGAAGGAGAAAAAGGGGCGTTGGGAACGGCTCTGTATTCTCGTAATGACTCCCATCTCAGAAACAGAATCTATACTCTCGTTTGGATCCTCTTCTTCCCTAGCCATGCATCCCGCTCAAACATAGACTGTGTCCATTCTACAAAGATAAAAGAAAGTGCCTGTTCATGCATATTGAACAAAATCTTTAATGATCCAGTATTTTAGGTTTACATTGGTCTCATATGCGGCTAGCCGAGGTTCTGCCGAAAACGTCATTGTACCGTCAATTTTAGCCACCCTTGTTGTCGGTGTTACGGCGAGCTTATTGAAGTCAATCTCTCCAAAGTGAGTTTTCAAACAATTTGTAGCCTTGTTGCCTAGCGTTGTGGCTTCCCCCTTTTGACGCTTGCTAGACTGCTAAATAAAGAAGTAGAAAGGTCTGTAAGATGACAGGTAGGTTGTGAGAAGAGTCATACCGAAAAAGGAGCTTTGAGAGACCGCACTGCAACCTTCATTCCACCCACCGCGACGGGCCTTTAACTTAGCTTCCTACAGAAGCATTTGACACATTTTGGCTTCTTACACTAATGGTGCGTCCTGATTCCTTCCTGCAGCCCTTACCATTGGAACGTGGCTTGATTCCAAGGGCATCCGTCCGCGATTTAAAAATCCTAAATGGTGATTTTGCAGAAATGTGGAAGAAAATTCGCCTATAAAGAGAAAATGCCAAAGGGAACGTAACGTTTTGGCAGCGTAATAAACATAAACATAAACAAACGTAAAACGTATTCGTCAGGCCTCCTCTAGCCAAACAACTGTAGAGGTAAAAACCGAAAAAGCCGCGCGCTGGGACAATTCTTGTCGGCTGATTCCCAGTAATGAACCTTATGACTCTACAAGAGACACCGCATCCACTTCATAATACTTGCCCGGGAGCGTTACTTTTGGCAGGAAGGACGACTTTGGAGGCGGAGTCACTGGAAAAAAGGCTGTACTACTGAAGCAACTTTGCGCCTTGATCCCTTTACCGTACAACTTTCTTGATGGCACAGATGTGTCCACTTTCTACATAACCTCTTGCATTTTCTTAGTTCATCGTAGACCGCTTCTTTAACTTTGACGATATTTCCCTTGCTTTAACACCTTGAGATGTGCTGAGGGCGAAAACTTCAGATTCGGTCATATGGTGGCTGAAGAGGCGAAAAGGAAAGGATTCCTGAGATATTTGCATTCACGTGTGATCACTAATTCTGAAGAGATCGCATTCTACGGAGGTCATGAAGTGGGTTCTTTCATACGCTACAAAAATTGAAAAAAAGTGATTTTGCAACCAGTGTCAGTCATTTTTAGCACTGCCCAAGCTGACCAGCTAAGTGGCTAGAATTATTGAATATTTCAGGCCGAGTTCAAACAGCTAAACAAGGCCTACGGCGAGTTGACAGATCAAACAAAGCTGATATTTCGCAAGCGAATTCTCTACATCATGGTTGAGCAATTCTTAATGAAGTACGTTTGGTCAGGCACTGGTATGGTGATGATCGCTCTACCAATTCTAGCTAGTGAATACACTACTCCTGCTAGTGAGTTCATTTCCGGAACTTTCGTACTTGTTCTTTCCGTTAGCCTTTCTCATTGCCTCTCACGTTCGGGTTTTCAAAGAGTCTCATTGCTCACTTGATAACAAGCGTGGGCACATTCCGTGCTGATGCTATAGGCGAAAAATCGTAAAGAAGGGCGCATTAGTTGAGAAAGACTCGGCCCAGACGACCACTGCGAAATATGTTTCGAAGAGAATATTGTCCTTATAAACGTTCCAGAGACTCGGCGACTTGAAGACGAACCTGATGGCGGTGTATCTGAACGAACGCGTGGCTTTGCTACCGCGAAGAATTTACTCTACTCTTCGGCGGATGCTGTTGAGCGATTGATGACGTCGTACAAAGAGGTAAGAGAAGGCACATTTTTTTTAGAAACTCCACATACTATTGCTTAATGACAAGTGATTGTCTCCGAGTTCTCCTAGTTTTATTTGAGTGGTTAATTTCTATTTACTTTGTACATTCAGATAACTGAACTGGCTGGCTATACGTCTCGGGTGCACGAAATGTTTGAAGTGTTCGAAGATGTCAAGAGAACGTTTTACCGACGAACGTTAGTCAGCGGCGACGAGAAGGGAACTGGCCGCGGTGAAAGCATGGACACGTCGCGTATCGAAGGTGTGTATCTCGCAGAAGCGTGCTTCATATTCCTCGTTAACCGTTTGGGCGGAATCTCTCGGCTCAGTGCACCTTCCTCATTGGTGGGCACCCTAGCTAACAAATAAAAGACGCATCGATGAACAGCGCGCAATAGTCCATGTAAATTCTTTCATTCGATCGGCTAGCCAAGTGCCTTCAGAGACACAGTACCACGATAAATCTACAAAGGCCTATAGACTAAGCACGCCTTTAGTGGTGGATATACTGTCTGCCTTTGAGCAGGCGCGCGGCTCGTGAACGTGTGTTTTCAATGAAGGGGACCGTTAGCGCCTCTCCGACTGCTAACATGCCGACCCAGACGCCTAGAGGCACTGCTCGCTCTGTAGCTGAATGCATAGTCTACCTGTACTTCACTCTACCGTACCTATAGATACACTCTACTATACACCCTACAGAGGGTACGTAGTACACCGAGCAGCCTTATCATCCGAGCCCGACTGCATGTTTTTTGCCAGAGTTAGACTCCCCCAAATCCCTACCGCTCCGACCGTTTCGACCGTCTCCTCGTCCACTGAGAGTGCATCTGTGTAATGACCATCCTGCCACCATTTCTCCCGGTTTCCACTGTTCTCGCACCATCGAGCGCCTTGGTTTTCCTTCTAGAGTGTCATCCGAATGATAGAGCCAGCTGCCCTGCCTGCCCAGCTGTTGAGAAATGCCTGTTCTCTAGGATCCATCTCCCTCTCTTTCCAGTGCAACACTGGGCATACGGTCGTGAGAACATTTGTGCGAATGCAAAGCCGTTTCTGAGTTTCAGGACATGTGATGACCTCGGAGGATGATGCCATCATCCTTGAAAACGTCCCAATAGTCACACCAAATGGCGATGTGGTAATAAAAAGCATGTCCATAGAGGTACGTTTCTATGAGCAGTACGTTGTAGAACGACTATTGACGTATTTTATTGAGAGTAACTCGAAGAATAAAAATACTGTCTAGATCAAACCCGGAATGCACACACTCATCACAGGACCTAACGGCTGTGGAAAGAGTTCCCTATTTCGGATACTAGGCGGTTTATGGCCAGTATATCGAGGAAGAATCTCACGGCCGCGACCTGATCGTATGTACTACATCCCGCAACGGCCGTACATGACCCTAGGGACGTTGAGGGATCAGGTTCGTTGTGTCTCGTGGAAATTCTTCACCACTTTCCGCGCGGAGCAGAGCCACTGTTTCGCTTGAATTCAATATGATGACAGGCTCATTTAACATAGGGGATGACTTGATCATAAGAGGAGTTCAAGCGATAGGATCAAATTATTTTCATTTAGCGTTTTAGCTTTACTTCTTTTAGAAGAATGGTGGTAGTGATAGGTCTGCAGCGGATTAGGACGTGCCGCGACGCTCTAGAAAGTTTCATGACACGTCAGAGCACAGGAGTTTTTCGTCCATAAATAGACGAAGCGTGATCATCGGATAGGCAACGTCCTATGTTCGCTTGACGTTCCTTGGTATCCAGAGGGTTACTGCTCCAGCGCCGTGGTGATTTTACAATAGAATGACCGATCCATCTGTTCATCTTTAATTCCTTGGCAAATGTGACAGCGTTCTTGACCAGAACATTTTTTCACCGTAAATAGTGAGACAAGAGGAAAGCATGACAGATATGGTGGTGTCAGATCGCTGCAAGAATCCTATAAATTACACACTTGTTCGCTGCGGATGCTTATGGTGGGCCTATCAGGGAGATTGGGTTTGGCCGTTTTCTGCCAAGTGTTGTCGCTTGCCTTCTGCAGTCAGGAAGTCTGGGGCTGGCGCCGTGCCGAATCCAGCCCTGCGAGACGCTCCTGCATCCGCAGCGCACAATTTTAACATGCATTCACATAAGATCATGGTTTTTCAACAGAAGGGAAAAGGAGAGTGGAGTCGACTAAGCAGTTCAATTTCAAATATTCTGCTGTCCTGGACGTCTGGTATCTAAATATTACAGTGTGAAGCTTTGAAAATTTTAAACGGACATATTCACCCCCCCCCCCTTTTCTCGGTATTCAGCACTAGACCGTTCGCGACCCTCCCATCACGAGAAATTAGAATCACGAAATATTCAATTTCAGGTTATTTACCCGGATACAACTGTACAAATGCATCGGAAAGGTGTCACCGACGTCGATCTCGCGCATATCCTTCAGATTGTTCACCTGTCACATATAGTACAAAGGGAGGGAGGTATGACTCATTATGTTCCTTCTTGTACTTCTTAATGTTTTCCTATTTATATTTAAGGGGTAGAAAAACTATAGTGGTAAATGGCCTGCTTACCATGTTCGCGGTACGAAGGATGAATGCCGGATTGGTTGCCACCTAGGACAACCTGCTACCCTGCGGGCACAGTAGATTGTACCAGACTCGTCTGGCAGGATAAGAACACTGACTTGTACATCGAGTGTTCCCGACAGACCGCTTTATAGCCCACATTGCATTCACTACGACTCGAAGTGGGAGTAGATTGCGTGCCGCATCTCAAAAAGGGACACATAGATGGCAAAAACCTCATCTCTATTTTTCATACTATCCGTGCAGTGTCAATTTGCTGTTGGTATTGCGTACTCAGTTATTGTGAACATTCCTCTCAACTAAATATTAGTTACTACAGAGCTCCATGAACCTCTCAGGCATTCACTGCTGTTTTTTATATCATCTTCTTTCCCGTTAATATTGACTGACTCCTTTCACAGAAGGTGAAGCTGAAGTTTAAGGATGGGATGCACAGCACGATTGGATGGATTTGTTGTCTGGTGGAGAGAAGCAACGTATGGGCTTGGCTAGGGTATTCTACCACAGGTGTTGTAAAGATGTTCATTAGTCGAACCATTAGTTTCTTTTCGTTTATCCTTCACGATAGCTATTTGCCCACCACATTTTTAGTAGCCAAATTTCTGCAGTCCTAGACTCTTGATAATATCCATGTAGATTTTTTGTCATATGTGATAGGTTACAGACCGCAGTACGCTCTTCTTGACGAGTGCACGTCGGCCGTGTCGATCGATGTGGAAGGAAGTATATACCAGGCGATAAAAGACAGCGGAATCACTTTGCTCACTGTTTACTCAACCGACGAGGTTCAGTTGTGGTAAGATAATTCCGGATCAATTGTAGACTGGCTTTCAATTATTCTATCGAAAAATACGAAAACTGTTGTCTTACACCGCATTGTGCAGTGGTTAGCTGACAGCATTGCAAACGGTCGAGGCAGGGCAGGAGGGGATGAATGGGTCTGCCCCGGCTGTTTTTTCTTTCACCAATAGTGATCGGTTAGTGATCGTTTCAAGAAGAAACTAGAGGTGGTGAAAACGTCGCCAATGGGCCATTCGATGTCTCTTGTCACCGCTCCGGCTAAATGCGGCGACATCGACTGTACCTTACACTGCGGATCAGTCTTACCAAATAGTCGGTACAATTATCGTACCATAGAGGCTTCCACCTTGTGGGAGGTATCGGTTACCGGGGGATCAGAACGTGGAGTTGTGCCTTAATACGGAGGGCCTTCACCTCTCATTTGCTCCACACAGGGGAAAGGGGGGGAGGGTCAAGGCAACTGTAGCTGGTGGTCGTCGCGTCACAGTGGGCACGACAGTTTGAGAATGTTGGTCAACAACCACCAGAAAGCCAATATAACCTAACGTTGCGACCTTTGGTAACTCAAAGAAATAGTTGAAATCAAAACCGCGCCTATGCGGCTGCGCACCATCCATTCGCTACAAGAGCCATGGGTGTCCATCAACGCAGGGCGGAGAGGAGGAAGCTGCGTACTTCGTGGCGGCGGCTACGCGGTCCGGCAGGATATTTTCGTTAGCAATTGTACCATATCTTTGTCTGCAAGAAGACAGTGTTTCAACAGGGAATTTCTCAGTAGAAACGCATCCTGCGCCATATTCTAATGAAGAACGCAGCCCCACCATCCATTTCGGTATAAGACTGTACAAGAAAGAGATCACAATGTCACTTGATGACTTTATAAATTAAAGGCAAGGAGAAGCGAACGTCTAGGAATGACTTTGCTGATAACTGCATGGCATTAGCTTAGGAGTATGTTGCAAAGATAGTTCCTGACCGGTTACCTGATTGTTTCGTTGAAACCCAGTTTCCCTCCGTGGTCATCCGGGACTTTTATCGAGGTGGATGCTAGCCCTGGTGGTGATTCCACTCTGAGTATGCGCATCAGGTTCTCGGCTACAGTGACTTCGCCTACCCTTGCTAGAGTAGGACCCACGGAAGGGACGACAGGAGCGAGCTCAAAGCCTTGAGCAGAGTAAAGCGGGTTCTGCACAATAGCGCCAATTTTATTGTTGATCATGATAGTAAGGGATAATCTTGTAAATATGAAACTCATAGAGATTAAATGTTTTCAGGAAATTCCATACAAATTTACTGCAGTATGACGGTGAAGGTGGATATAAGTTGAGGTCTCTTAACGATTCGACAATCGGCGAGCGATTATCGCTTGCAGATGAGAAGCGACAAATTGAAACAAAAGCGTTACCGACGGTGCGCAAATGAAGGGACGTCTTGCTGAGTTATGCCAGGTAAACACCAATCACATGCCGTAGTTTGAGCCTAGTGTTAAATGACAATGCTGAATGTCCGGTGTATCTACAGAGCTCTCGGTTTTGATTGAATAGCTTGCGGCGGCGCCACTGATGACCCATTTGACCTAACGACATGAACCTGGGATAGACTAGATCTATAGGTGCCCTTCGCTCAAGCACGGCGTGCTTGTTGGCAAGATGCTCAATATAAAGCTTCAAGCAGCTCGTTGAAGTTAGCCTTACCGTGCTCGCCGAAACTCCTGAGGTAACTAATGAACTCATGTCTTCTCCAGTAGTTTTCCGTCCGAAACTGAACTGATGAATTGAAACGCGAGAACCAGAGTGCTGGGCGTGTGTTGAGACACGTGGTTACGCTCAAAACATTGAGGGTATGAGACTATCAGCCCCCAGCTGTCGATGTGTCGTGGTCCCCCGCCCAAAACTGCACGGGGTCAGAGTACGAGGGCCGTGGGAAAGTCGTAATTCCTTGCTACACCGCCCATTTCGCAAACTCTAACACCGTCCGCGCGGCGCGTGTACGCGGCGGGGGAACGGTTAGGACTCCACGAGAGGTCAGCCTGCCGCCGCGACGCGGCAGAGGAGAAGTGGGCCTCGCGATGTTTTCGCTATCTGCGCGGCGTTTGCATAGTCCGTTAGATTTCCAACAGTCTGCTTTATTACTTGCAGGTGTGAAAACTATGGAAGGAGTGGGCCCGATGTGTAACTATTAGTATAAAGCAATGTCCATTTACATAGAAATAATATTTAGAGAATACATCAGCAATCTACAAAAATTCACTTTAAGGTGAACCCTTCTTTTGCATTCCTTTGCAAGGTATTTGTAAAGGCAGATTTGGGGCCAGGCGGGAAGAGTAGGTAGTAGTAAGTAAGTAGTAAAGAAATACAGCAGTCTGTTGAATAAATACAGCTGCCATTCAAAAATATTGACGTCCCATTGAATATTCTAGTTTGCAAAATGCCAAGCAGATTTACGTGATGCCAGAACTATGTGAAGGGACCGGGATCTTAATCGCACGACTGTATGGGTCTTGTCCAATCAGGGCAGCAATCGCCGCGCGCGGCGAGGCGAAACATGGCTGCCGTGACCTCTCGTGGAGTCCTAACCTACACCCCTCGCGTGCAGCTCTCTTGGCTTTTTGCCAAGTCCTGTAATTGCGCTTCGGAACTGAAAATGTTATCTGCATAAAGAAATTGCGCAACGCAATTTCTTTATGCAGATAACATTTTAGGTGCTGCAAAATAAGAACCGAAGATGATGACGAGGGCTAGAACTCAAGAGCAACTGTGGTGCTTCTGCAATATCCCTCAGAGGCCGCGCATTCCCACAGAACATGACAATAAAAACGGACAACATGACAATAAAACATGACAATACAAGCAAAACGCAATTTCCTAACATTTGAGGTATTACTCATGCTCAAAGTCCGAGTAGAGGTGATGGAGATGGTACAACAAAGGCTAGAAATGATGAAGAACAACGAATGTAGATGTAAATAAAACAAAATTGAAAAAACTAAGGAAACGCAATAAATTAAAATCGCGTGTGCATTTCTGCGATCCGGCTCGAATCCGGCTCTAAAGCTATAGAAATACTTCAAACTAACGAGTGGGACGCTTAGGCCGTTTTTATTGTCATGTTCTGTGGGAATGCGCGGCCTCTGAGGGATATTGCAGAAGCACCACGAGTTCTAGCCCTCGTCATCATCTTCGGTTCTTATTTTGCAGCACCTAAAATGTTATCCGCATAAAGAAATTGCGTTGTACTTGTATTCCAAAGCGCAATTACAGGACTTGGCAAAAAGCCAAGAGAGCTGCACGCGACCGCGCCGCGCGGACGGTGTTAGTAAAAACGTGAATTTGCGAAACGGGCGGCGTAGCAAGGAATTACGACTTTTCCACGGTCCCGTACTCCCACGTGCAGTTTTAGGCGGGGGACCACGACACATCTACAGCTGGGGGGCTGATAGTCTCATACACCCTCAGTGTGCATTGGAGTACCATGTGTCTTGAGGAGTAAAGAGACTTTTTGTGAAGCACAATCTGCTTCGTTTCAAAAAAGCTTGCTAAGTACCGAATCCATGCAAGGTGTTCCAGAGTGCCGAAATTACATAATAGAGCTAAGGTTAGCTTTTCCAGACCGTAATATAGACCCAGTCTTGCATTTGCTATCGGAAAACACATGAAAGACTTCTAAAAACATATTCAAACTCTATCTTCAGATACTCGGCGAAGACGCGGAAGCCATTGCACTGGACACCGATGGCAGCGCTGACTCATGATCACAGGGTTTCTACTGGTAGAAGTCCCACAGACACTAGTCGTTTCTCATCTCAGAACATTCTTACTTCTTTCTTTTTATTGGCCATGGTTATTGTATATAAGATTCACTAATTTTGCTTAATAAATGGATAGACAGTTGAATGTTTTATGAGGGGCCAAAGAGCACCCAGGTGAATTGAGTGCTGTTGTAGCCTTTTTTCATGAAACTGATGTAGATCTGCAGAGCACTGAAGAGGGCACATCATCCGTTTGGCGTTTTGGTCAAGTCCTTACGACCCCCCCCTCCGCAAATGGTGCTTGGAACGACCCACCTTCTTGTTCCATTTTTTTTTCTGAAACCTACGTGGAAGAAAACCAATGACAAGCGAGTAATTTCCTGGCTCCTTCACCAGTGAGCGCCATCCGACGAAACATTGCGCGAATAAAGTTCGGGACACGTCGATGGTTCACAGGACAGGATTCCAGCAGGGCTGCTCCTCTTATTTACAGGAGGAGTTTAGTTTAGATGAAACACCCCAACACATGTGTCCTTTGGCTTCCATAGGCAGCCGTATGGCCCAGACTTGACAGATGAAAATGGTGGGATCTATAGCGATTATTTATTGTTTTCTACAACTGTCCTGTTAGTTATGTTGGTTAGGAACTCCCAACACTTTTTGGACATTCCTCTAGGGGGGGGGGGGGGGGACACCACATAGAGGGAGGAAAGAGGCACCCCATCACTGATGCTGGCTTCAAATTCGCCATGAGGCGCGCGAGAAAAGTTTCGCGGTAGCAAAAAGAGACAGGCGCGCTCATCCATGGTTCAAACCCGGAATGAGCGCACCTCTGTCTTTTATTGCGTTCATGTGGTGATGCTTTCTCGCTTTGTTGCCTATTCATAGTCATTCCTTGATATGTGACCGGCAAGATTTTTCGTTGCTGACCTTACGTTTGCTACCTTTCCGTTTATCACATATTACAACCGCACGAATGTTTTCCCCTCTCTTCCTGATAGACCTTTCTTTGCCTGACCGGGGAAAGCGGTCTTAGCGCGATCACATTGCAATTTGCCAAGTTGGACAACTCGTCGGAATCAGTAATGTGCGAGGTTTTCGTAAATAATGTCCCATGGACTGACTATATACCCTCGTCATCCGCAGTTGTTTTAGGGGCGGTTCGTCAACAGGCAGGCGCGTGAGGAACTATTTGCTTTTCCAGGCACTATTTTTAGTCATTTTTCCACCTAGTGAAAGAAAAAGGGAAACTGCTAATCTTGGAAAAAGCAGCCAAACAGTGAAAAGTTGGAAAAATGACTAAATTAGCCTGGAAAAAGCAAATAGTTCCTGGCACGCGCTGCGGCCCGTTGACGACCGCCCTAATCAACTGCCCGGATGACGAGGGTAATGTCGTAAGTGCTATCTACGGTGTTCTTACTCCTCATCCAAAACATCTTCCATTGATCAGTCGTACGAAAAGAGTTATGGTTTCAAATTTTGGCGACTTGTCCTCTCTGGGACACGGTTCATCGTCCTACATTTTTGACCAGGGCACATCACTGGTTTGGGATTTTAGTCGAGTCTGTACGACCCCCTCCCCCCTTTTTGGAAGTTGGTACGACTCCCCC